GAACGTTCTTTGTGTGTGCACAAAATTAGATAAATTATATGTCTTCAAAGTTTTAATTTTAGTATTAATTGTAATTACGCATTGAATGCCTTATCTATCTCTTCTAGAAATATTGAAGCAGTTACGGAGTAAAAAATATATATAAAAAATATATATATTATATATATTATATATATTTAAAGCATCGTAAATCTGGTGACAGAGTTTTTACAACTCCTCACAGTCCACAACAGAGCGCCATGTGATCAGCTCACTCCCCGCGTCTGTAGTCAGTGGCGTCACAAGCACTCTCCGCCGTGATTGGCTGTGCGGTGGTGTCTTCACGGCCGGGCTGTGCGCTGATTGGTCTCCGAAACGAAGGTTCTGTGCGCTTCCTGTTCCTCGGAGTTTGGAAAGAGCAGCTGAGAGTAGGGCATCACGGGTTAAGAGCCATCTAGGCTTCTGCCTTGGGGTCGCACTGTACCGCACATCCCGGGGGTCCATGACACAATGCCCCACGAGAGCTTAACCCGTTTTGCCATCATCATGCTTGTATCATTTTCCGCCGTGCTTTCGGCGCAGCGGGAGTTTGACACCCTGGCGCATCTCAAGCCACAGGCGAGTGACGACACGCAGGCTAGAGCTGTAGGCGACCTCCTGACGCGGCTGATCGGGCAGAGGGCTGGCGACTTCATCGTGTCCGTCAACCGGTCTCTAGCGCAGGCCAACGGCAGCCCGGACGCCTGCGAGCTCTGGTCTGCGAAAGGGGACAAGATCGCGGTGGTGGGGAGCACCGGGGTGGCCGCGGCTGCTGGGGTGTACACATATCTGAAGTATTTCTGCAATTGTCACGTCTCCTGGACAGGCAGACAGCTGAACGTCCCGTCTCCGCTGCCCCCGATCACCGGCGTCCTGAGAATCAGCAGCCCGCACAGGTGCGTCCTACCTGGCTCAGGTACGAGCCGGACCCTTTAACTGCGCTTTCAGTTAAGTTTCAGTGCGCGCTTTCGATCGGGATCCAGCTCAGCTCAGTAATGTGCATCACAGTGCATTATCTCTGTACCTGATAAACCTGTGGATCGACAGTGGCAGGTGAAGGTTTATTCCGTGCTAAGAGGAAAAGAAAAGAAGCAACAACTTTTCGGCTGTGGAGCCTTCTTCCGGGGGGGAAGTAAAGCGTAGGAGAACAGAAGACAGAGAATGAGTGTCCAAACGGAGGGAGAACAGGAGACCTGTGGAAAGCCAAAATCTGCAAATGAACAGAGAGGATTGAAAGAGGACTGAAGTTGAGAGAAGGGACAGTTTTGGTTGGGGGTGTCTTTGTGTGCTAGGAGTTCAGAAACCCCTGTGTGAGGACGCAGGGGGAGGGATCAGTGTGATTGTGGCCGTCGGGCGCGAAACTAACGATCAGTTTGGAGAGGTCTTTGATCCTCACACCTCTTTGGCGTGATGCGAAAGGAAATCTTTCTATTGGCATGTTGGGGTCCAGAAACTACGATAGCTAGACGTTTCTGGCTGGGCAGAGCTTGGTTTTTGAGACCCAGGCCAAAAGCCCCCTGAAACTGGGACACAACTGGCAGCTTTTTTTTTGTTCATAGAACCACAGTTGTTCACCAGGGGGACTCTTCCCCTGTGGCGTCATTCGGGGGCGGCAGCATTGAAGCCATGTCCAATTAGCAGCAGCTCGTTAGAGGTGCTGCAGTTGGCACCAGCTAGGCCACGTGCATAGTGACCAGTTAGTCAACAGCCCCCACTGCGTGACTGGCAGCTCTTTGTCAGAGGACAGGTGATCTACTGTGTTATTTCCCTTGAGAAAGCAGGGCCTCACTGGGCATTCTTATGTAACTGCAACAGTGATTATTGTAGTATTACTGACTCTGCAACTTTCACGCTAAAGCTTGACGCCTCGGTTGCGCTGTGGAATGAGCAGAGCAGAAACTCCGAAGCTATCACCTGCTGAGGTAGTTCATGCCCCACTGGTTCTGACATGTGCTGGTTTGTGTTGATTAAAGTTAATTCCACTAAAGTGTTGTGCGAGAAAACCATCTCTCTTTGTGTTGCCTCCTCACCATTCTTCCACTGCAAGTGGCATAGTTTCTTTCTCTGGTAATATTGGGCAGTGCAACTCATGGGAAGCCTTAGCTAATTGCAGTCTTCCTGTGGAATGTCTCTGGTATTGCGCATGTGCCTGTTCACGTACATTTTAGACAACCCTTGCAAACAAGACTTCATTAATAGTATTATAAGCCTGAGGATAACATCACCTTCAAAGATGCAACTATTTTGCTGTATGCAAAAGTAAGGAGAATACACCGATGTTGCATATACGAACCAACAACACAGATATTGTTTGAGAGCCTGTCCAATACCTACAGACAGAAAGCCACGACAGCCTGTTTAGGGCATGAAATCCAGACATTCCTCCCTGACATTGTGGATACACTGTGTGCTAACCCTGCAGAACAGGGGATCCAGATTCTGGTCCTGGAGCCCAATTTGCTTGCAGGTTTGCATTACAGCCAGGCTTCGTGCAACTAACAAGTTGCATGAATGGAATAAGGTTTATTGTTTTCTTCTCAAAAGGGTGTGCTTTTGTGGCTTATAAAAGGCATCTACAAACACGTTTAAGAGCTGAAGTCAGTCAACCAGTTTAAATCGATGCTTTAATTAACTCAGTGAGGGAATCAATGGGGTAACTGAGAGCTTGGTTGGGACACAAACCAGGAGGTGTGTGCGTGATCCTACAGGGACCCCCGCTGTAGACATCTCAGTTTAATCCCCTGTGATTCCTCTTGGCAGGTTCCGGTATTACCAGAATGTGTGCACTCAGAGCTACTCCATGGTGTGGTGGGACTGGGCACGCTGGGAGCAGGAGATCGACTGGATGGCACTGAATGGCATCAATCTGCCCTTGGCATTTGTTGGGCAGGAAGCAGTTTGGCAAGAGGTGAGCTGCCAAGCCCCGACAGTCCAGTCCGTACTCAGTGGGCAGAAGACTGGAGAGCTTCATTATCCTGCTTGCAGTGCTTCCAAACACATGAGCACCTAGTGATTTTTCTTTCCTAAGAGCACAGGCCTGAATCTGATTCTTGACAACTCTGACTCTGAGGCAGGCACACAAGTCAACATCAGTCATTAAATAGAGAAGAGACAAAGACAACAGCATTTGTAAATCGAGTCAGGTATATCCACTAGAATGTAGTCCAGTCGTTCGTAGAGGTGGCTTGTTAATCACGCCAAAGGCAAAAACATTGTTGAAAAAATAGAGATTGCATTGAGTTTTTACACTCTGAATGTGACTTCAGTTGCCATCCAATGCCCAAATCTAGATCTGAATCTGGATGCATCCAGGACAAACATTTATTTTCCTTCACTCTTGGCGTGAAGAGTAGGTGAAAAGGAGACTGGTGTTGCGTTGCAAGTGTGAATGCTCCGAAAGTCTGTTGGTAATTGACACCAGGCGGCCAGGAATGGCTAACCATGTGTCTCACGCCTCGTCCTCTCCCCTGTGCTCAGGTGTACTTGTCGCTGGGCCTGAATCGGAGTGAGATCGACAGCTTCTTCACGGGCCCTGCCTTCCTGGCCTGGAACCGCATGGGCAACCTGTTCCGCTGGGGCGGCCCGCTGCCCCAGTCCTGGCACCTGAAACAGCTCTACCTCCAGGTGCGGCGCAGCACACGGCTTCATCCGCCTGTTTCTCCACTTTCTCGTCTTTTAAGAAAAGAGACTGCAACAGCAGTATGATTCTCTCTGTTTTTTCTCCCACCCACAATGTTCACGTGCAGTATAGAATCCTGGACCGAATGAGATCTCTGGGCATGATCCCTGTCCTGCCTGCTTTTTCTGGAAATGTTCCTGAAGCCATTACCAGGTAAAGAGCTCAAGTGCCACTACAGCAGGGTTCCAGGATCCCTTATTATTATGATGATTATTATCATCTTCATTTTATATAGCGCCTTTAAGGGTGGCTCATCAACGTGCTTTGCGGAATGAAAAAAATACACCATGAGTGGAGACGGCAGGCTTACACAGTTACAGAACGCACAGGGGCTGGCAAATGAAGGGTTTGAGTCCGGGTTTGCAAGAGCTCAGGGAAGGTGACTCTCTGATATTCTTGTTGAGCTCTGGGGCGTAGCAGGAGAAGACCCTGTCACCCACAGAGTGCAGATGGGCTTGGAGGACAGACTTGAGTGTCCCCAATCAAGATAATGAGGAGCAGTCCTTATATATAGAGTTCTTTTTTCTTGATTGCCACAGCTTAGTTTGCAGTGCCAGAACACCTTAACCCTCACATCCCGAAGTAAGTTGGTAAAGAACTCTGTATCAGATACAGCTTTGTTACACTTGTGCCTTGATTAGCTTGGGATCACTGAGTTCTCTAGGTCTTGGAAAGTACCTAATAATTGTTCTGACTCAATTCTGGTGTGATAAATTTAGCTGCCTTTCCTCATTGGCACCAGGTGGACTGGTGCTGGTGCAGCTGAATTAAAGCACATGCTGATTTTGTTACATTTCCTGTATCTGACTCTGCTGATCTGTAACCAGCTGATCAGAAACGAGTTTCACAAGTCCTGGGGAAAGCCCAAGGAAAACCTTCATACGGGAAAACCTCAGCAGCCGCAAGTCAGAAACATTTTGAAAGCACATTCTCCGCAGCCCTGTTTTGTAAGGTTGGTGTCGGCATTTCTTATGTCAGCTGACACCAGTCACTCCTGAATGTTGGAGGATGGCTAGGTCCGACTGTAGGGAAGAGAGGATGTATGTGATAAATGATCGTTGTCCATACTCGTAGGATTTTCCCCCAGGCTAACGTGACCAAGCTCAGTCCCTGGAGCCACTTCAACTGCAGCTACTCCTGCGCCTACGTTCTGGACCCACGGGACCCCCTCTTTCAGCGCATCGGGGCCCTCTTCCTGTCCCAGCTGCTCAAGCAGTTCGGCAGCGACCACATCTACAACACGGACACCTTCAACGAAATGACCCCCTCCTCGTCCGATCCCACGTACCTGTCCGCGGTCAGCCAGGCGGTCTTCACCTCCATGACAGCAGGTGAGCTAGTCCCCCAATTCATGGCCTAACTGTGACAATAGCTTTTCACCCAGAAATTGGCAGTTATATCTTACTGGACGTTACCATTCCTTACTTGTTTCATCCCCTAGGATATAAGAGAAACAAGTAATACGTTTTTGTTCCATGCTGGAAAAAGAAGAAAAAAAAAACACAATGTTTGGGCTGTGGAGCCTTCTTCAGGTGTCATAGATATGTTATACGGATTGCATAACACCAAGCAGAAAATGGATAGGCACATTTCCACATGAAAATTGGATGTGCAACACCACCTTTTAATAAGGAAGGTTACAGGCTGATTGGGTGAGCTGGAATGCACCTGTAGCACAATACGTACAATGGCACACATCTAGCAGCACTTGGAGTAGACTGAGATTTACACCTTAATATCAGAATATTATGGGCAAACTAGACATTTATGCTGTATGTGTGAAATGTCAAAGTACTGTTCAACATGCTAAATACAATTTCTAACCAAGGTGTGGGACAGATACAGACCTCAGCTTCTGCCAATCACTGGCTCCCCTGGGTGTAAATAAGGGCATTTTGACTTTCCATCCCAGCATTCTTTGCCCACGCAGCCCCCCAAGCCCCCCTCCCCCTGCTGTCAGGGCTGCTGCTCTTTGGCTCATCACAGAGGTTTTCTAACTGGCCCCTCCGCACGGCCAGGTGAGAGTGAAAAACAGCCCCCTGCGAGTGCTCTCTGTATTGATCTCCTCACTCGAGGCCTGTCTCTAACTCCTGAACTAACTACGGCTGCAAAAGCATCCTACTGCGCAGCTCTGGGACAGCGCCGTGCCCGAGGGCCTGTAGCCCCCCCTTAACCCCAGTCGAAATGTGAAAAGTCAGGGCTGGCCTGTCGCCGCCCTGCTGGCGGCTCCTCGCCACCCCCGCCGGCCCTCCGGCTCGCGATGGGAGCCTGATTCCCTCTCCTCTCTTCCTTCCCTCCTGCCCCCCCTAGTTGACCCCCAGGCGATCTGGCTGATGCAGGGCTGGCTGTTCGTCCACGACGCCGCGTTCTGGCAGCCGGCCCAGGTGCGGGCTCTGCTGCGCGGCGTGCCCCTCGGCAGGATGGTTGTCCTGGACCTGTTTGCGGAGTCCGTGCCGGCGTACTCCTTCACCCAGTCCTTCTACGGGCAGCCCTTCATCTGGTGCATGCTGCACAACTTCGGGGGGAACAGCGGGCTCTTCGGGACGGTGGACAGCATAAACCGGGGGCCGTTCGAGGCCCGCCGCTACCCCAACTCCACCCTGGTGGGGGTGGGGCTGGCCCCCGAGGGCATCGAGCAGAACGCCGTGGTGTACGAGCTGATGAGCGAGCTGGCCTGGCGCCGGGAGCCGGTCCGCCTGGACAAGTGGGTCTCCCTCTACGCGGTGCGGCGCTACGGCAGCAGTCACCAGAATCTCCCCGCCGCGTGGAGGCTCCTCTTCCGGAGCGTCTACAACTGCACCCTGCCGGGCTACAAGAATCACAACCGCAGCCCGCTGGTGCACCGGCCCTCCCTGCGCATGGCCGCCGACCTGTGGTACGACCCCCGGGACCTGTACGAGGCCTGGAGGCTGCTGCAGGCCGCGGCCGAGCCGCTGATGGCCGTGGAGACCTTCAGGCACGACCTGGTGGACGTCACCCGCCAAGCCCTGCAGCTCCTGGTGACCGAGTTCTACCAGGAGGTCAGGAGGGCTTTCCAGGGCCAGCAGCTGCAGGAGCTGCTGACCGCCGGGGGGGTCCTGGTGTACGACCTCCTCCCCGAGCTGGACCGGCTGCTGTCCAGCGAGAGCCACTTCCTTCTGGGCGCCTGGCTGGAACGCGCCAGGTCTCTGGCCCTGGGGGACGAGGAGGCTCGGCTGTACGAGTTCAACAGCAGGAACCAGCTGACGCTGTGGGGCCCCGCCGGAAACATCCTGGACTACGCCAGCAAGGAGTGGGGCGGGCTGGTGGCCGACTACTACGCCCGGCGCTGGGGGCTCTTTGTCGCCGCCCTGGTGGAATGCCTGGACAGGGGGCGGCCCTTCAAACAGGAGACGTTCAACCGGGCCGTCTTTCAGGTGGAGCAGGACTTCGTGCGCAGCCGGAGGGAGTACCCCTCCACCCCCGTAGGGGACACTTACGAGATCGCCAGCAGGATCTTCCTCAAGTACTACCCACAGGCCATGAAGAAACTGCAGGAAGCCAGTGGATTTTCGGCAGGAGGCCTTCATCGTGTTTGAGGAAGCACAGTGAGGAAACTCCTTTTTGTAGAGTAACCCAGCTGCTCCCCACCGAAGGGCACTAAGCAACTGTGTTAGAGGCTTGTCAATGGTGTCACTTATTGGCAGCTTTTGATATATTTAGTTTTGTGGCCCTTCTACTCCTCTGTACCTTTTGAACACTAAATTATAAAGGCCATAGCTGAAATCCAGTTTTTCCTTTTATGTACTGTTGTATTTTTATAGAATTTGAAATTTTTTTGGGGGGCGTATCACATGTAAGTCGTTTTAGATTGTGCTGAAACTGACACGATCAGTTCAACCTCTCTATCTGAGTAAGGCCCTTCAGCTGATAGGAACTTTTGGATGGGCTGTCTTGTCAGTAGCAGAATAAAGCCTGGTGTTTTTCTCAGGTGCAAAGAGTTAAAAAATCCTCAGAGATCTCCTTTTGCTCTCTGGTAACCGGAGGAAGGGTCAGGATTCTCAGTTACAGCTGCAGCACATCAGGAAATTGCCATTTTTCCAAAAGAGAGGGTTATTTTTTTGTTCGTTTAATTCTTGGAGGATTTATCAGTGGGGACCTCACCTCTCTCGTGTTTCTTCAGGTCTATAAATTGTTTTAAAAGAAAGTGCAACATGAAAAAAGAACATTGAAAAGGCTGTTTAGGAACTACCAATATCTTAATGTTCTAGGTTAAAAAAAAATGTTTTTGCCTTTGTTTCAATATTATGGCCAAGATTGCACAATTTTCATACTTTATAGTACGTTATCAGGCTTGCTTCCAAGTGCCTTGAATTTGAGATGTGAAATAAGGCATCGTCTTAGCAGTTAGGAGAACCATCATTTTTGCTGCTGATGTTTAATAACCCGTGGATAGACAGTTGCACAATGCCCATGGCCTTATAACAAGATGAAAGCCATCTAGACATTTGTTCATGCAGATGAGGACTATTGTTCCATATTAAAGGTCTAATGAGCCAGTTTCAAGCACCTGCTAATAATGAGCTGTATCTGTGTCTTTAAGAGTCTGTCTTGAGAAATAGTTTTGGAAACTCCAATCCAGAGTCTGCATGCTGCTGAGGTTAAAGGGGAGCTGCAAGGCTATTTTTATATTTTGGGTGTTAGAAAGAAATGGCATTGATGATGCATTTCAAACCGCAATGAAAGTAAAACCTCCAATTTACATCACAAAATAGACTAAATTTCCAGGTATGTGCAGATTCATATTATCATTCAGAATGAGGCAACAAAACTTGTGAAAAGGCTTTATTACATTGTAAACAAGCATACATTTCTTTTAATCCAAGAAAATATTTCTCTCAACTTTGAGATGGTTTTACGGACAAATACTACTTATTTGTTAACTCTGCATGCAGATTATGTTGGAACATTTCTGCAGTGAAATGTCTGCTGCACAACCTGTACCTATTTGCTCACACATTGCAGTACATTAGTCATCACCGTGACTAGTGAGCAGGAAGGGCTACATCTTGCACAATTCTCGTGAACTCTCGGTCTCTCCCGTGGCAAAAACGGGGAATTGTGACATGTTGACCACACCGTGCTTTCACAAAGTTCACAATTTTGTGCTTAGTTCAGAATTGGTGAAATTTTGCTATGCCGTCAATTAATTTATTTTGTTACGGTCTGAGAAATTGGGACTGCAGTTCCCCTTTGATAACAGCATTTCCAATTCCAGTTTTTGACACTTGGTGGGGCTACCGGCTTTTGCAGGTCAGTGATGATGGTTTTCTCAGTAGTACTGGGGAACTAGGCCTCCTGTGAAGAATCTGCCTGTAATTGCTAATATCTCTTTAAGCATACACTGTAAATGTGAAATACAAGGGAAGGAATAACCTTAATCCTTCCTTGATTTGTAATAGTAGCACAAAAGTATGTGTTTCTTTACTGGAATATGTCTCAGACTAGGAGAATACAGACCCAGATGGCCCAATTCCTGTATATAATGTATATAATAATGATCTTTTTCTCCTTATGCCTTAACTTAGGGATCAAATATAGCTTAATTTTCACATATTTAAACCATTGTTCCTTCAAGAGATTTATTATTGTGATCCTTAAAACTTGGATCTGTGGTTAGTCCTCTGTTTCCACGAGTGTAACAATAATAAATGGTTCCAGAATCCCACAGTCCTTTTTGCACTTGGGCTGGAGTGTTTTTGCTGCATGAGCTCAGACAGGGGGTAGGCTAATGGTCAACTGCATGCATAATCTGTCCTAACCCGCAAATCAGTCATTGCTCAGGAGGGTAATACCTGCAAAATAGGGTGTAAAGGTCCACATATGGCACACACTTTTATTTCTCGAAGTGATCCGTTCGCCTTAACTGCTAAAGTCGTAATTTAACAGTGTAAGGCATTTGTTTAGTTGTGAGAGAGAGCCCTGGTGTCAGTCTGTGAATGACAGTGCCAAGGTTGAGGCTGTAAAGTCGGAATTACAGGACCTGTCTGAAGTGTACAGTGTGATGTTGCATTCTTTGGAGCAGTGGTCAGGATTCTGGACTTCTAACTCAAAGGTGCTGGGTTTGAATCCCAGGTGAGATGCTGCTGTTGGACCTTGACCAAGATCCTTCACTTGAATTGCTCGTGCAAAATGCCCTGAATGAGGATGCCAATCTACCTCTGGTTAAAAGTGTCAGCCAGATAAATTGCAAATAACTGGAAACCCAACAACAGGTATTTCTGATAGTCTTTTTTTTTTCTGCAACTTCACAATCCTAAATTAAAATGATAGGATTGCTGCTTTATCAGAAGGTCTTTGTAATAATATTAAAAAATAAAATCATCATGGCAGGTCAGTGTGTTTTTTTATTTTATTTCATTTAAATGGGACTCTTTGCAAAGAACTGGTAGAACATTTTAACTCATAGAGCACACAATAACCTTCCTTTCATTTTGCTTTCAAGAGCCTCTTCTGCAGATGTGATTTGCTGGAGTAATGCTTTTGTTGGATTTGTATGAATTTGTCGTCAGCAGTAGCCCCCGCATTGCCATTTATATATAATGGAGCATTGTATCATGATTTCCAGGTGCTCTGTGAGCCCCCATGCTTTTATTTTCTACAAGGATGCAGGAAAACAAATTGCTAATGGTTATTTTAGAAAAGTGAGCGCTCTTTAAAGTGAATGCCTGTTTACAATAGGTCTTGTGAAGGCTTAGCTTATGTCATTTCTTTGTGCAGTTGTGCTGCATTGACATTAATAACCTTGGCTCAGTGATATGTTCTGCAAGCCACAACACCATGCTCAAATGGAACAAGCTTGGATTTGTCTCGTATCTTAATTGTGTGCTATGCGGAAATCTGGTATTTCTATAGCACAAGTAATAGAAGTAGAAAAATAGATCATTCCTTCAGGTGTCAGTGTGTTTGTCTGAATGCAGTAGGGCTCTATACTGTCTTCCTGCTGTGTTTCAAGTTGTGGTTTCGTCTGAAAACATCCGGAACAACAGCAGAAGACAATTACAGAGGCATGTGGGAGGTGAAAACAAGTTAGTGATACTCGCTCAGTTACCTACAACTCTTTACTACTTTCCCAGTTCACTTCTTTTAATTCACAGGAAACCCCAAGGATGCCGTTCCTTATTTAAGAGGAGCATGACTCTAAGCAGGAAACTACAACAGAGAATCACTAAGTAGATGAAAAGGTACAAAATACATCAAATTAGAAGAATATTTGATGTAAATATTGTGCTATGTATGAGCCTACTGCCTTTATGATCCTTTGTTCTTGCTTCTGTTATTTGAAGTACTGATTTGGTCAGAATTGCACTGTTAAAGAAATCAGTTAGGTCTGAACACAGTTTGCAAGTTGTTGGATTGAAAAGCGATGTGGAACTGTAGCGCGATTGAGCAGTGACTGATGCCTTATTCTGTTTTGTCCTTATTCTGGCTTTTATGGTGTATTGTGTTGCCTTGCTGAATGTCCTGATAATGTTCTCACCTTGTCTGTCTCTCACTACAGCAATCCGCTTGTCCTCTTTGTCCTACAGAGGTTCGCACTAAGTCTGTCCCAAGCCTGGTTCAAGGTAGGATTAAACCTAGGAGGATACCAATCCCAGCTGGGCACACACACTCGTAGGCACCATTTAGACATGCCCTTTCATCTGGCTGGCTTTTGAGGATGGGTGGAAGCTAGACCAGAGGACATTTCACCATGGTGCAAAGAGAACATACAAGCTCTACACAGATTGAGCCTCAACCTAGAATTGGACCCAGGGAGGCAGAAGCACTAACAGCCATGCAACTATACCATCTGAAAATAAAGACACAATAAAAAGCCAGAGATCCCCAAAGGTATTTCCTCATTTGCAGAACATTAATGTTTTTGCCTTCGGCCACGGTTTAAGCTCAATGCGGTTCTGTGAAGGTTACTACTCTGTAGGCGTTGCAATGACACTGTATTCAAAGTGTCCAAATTATTTCTATGGCAAAAATGTGTAGCTAGAACCCTGCGTCTCAAAACTTGTCTCTCGCAGAGTTAAAAGGCTTTTTTCCTGCTTCTTTAGACCTTGAAATATTCCCTGTTTGTCTGCCCATGTAAGCGAAGCTGTAACACCTGTGGGTACCGTGACATTCATCAGTGCATATAGTCACTGAAGCCCACCTTTCCAAATGCAACACAGTTGTTTGTTCTTGTTCACAAATTGAGCTCTGGACGCCTTATGCTGTGAACCAGCTGAAGGCTATGGGGGAGCTTTTGTTCCTCGAGCCTTCGTGACGCACATAGCTTTTCACACTCAAGGAGCTTAATGTTCTCGTTCCCGTGCGCCGCAACATAACAGCCACAATTTCGAAAGGATCTGAGCACCTTTAAAAAAAAAAAAAAAACGCATTGCTGTTAGCACAATGCTGAGGGGAAAAATAGGTGGGCATTCATGATGTCTGTGCTTGCATTTAATTCATCAGTCGATAAGGCCATGAAAAAATTGCAAAGTCTCCTTTAGCCAGATTCATTAGATTATGAACGGTGCGTAGGTAGCTGCTGATGGGAATAGGAGTAGGTCAGACCCTGCTTCCTCAGAGGACATTGGTGATCATTACTCATCTTGGGGCAATAGGCCTTTGGTGAATGTAAGACCTCAAGAACAGGTTCTCTACCAACTGCATTTATAAAACATTAGATGGACACACTGGCAGAGTTCTCTGCACCACCCTGTCCACTTCTTGTAATTGCTGTTTAGATCTACATCTGTTTTCAGTCCAGCTTTCCTGGCTTGGTTGGAACTAACATCTTGTTTTTTTCTTTAAACTTCAGTTTCCAGACAGATACATATAAGCATGTGCTATTGATCCTTTTTCTAAATATCAATAACTCCTGATTACCTACTGCATTTACATTTCGCACCACAAGAAGTTCCCAATGTTCTCAGTTTTACACATATGCTTTGTCCACCTGTGCAGAGCCCTGAAGAGCAATGCAAAGCCACAGCAGAAGACAAAACGACAATGATGTTCCCTTGTTATGTAATGTGAGACCACACATCTGTGGTCTTTCTTGGGATCAGATTGGATGGCTCCCCTGGGAAACGGAGATGCATCTCAAATCCGCAATGGGAATGTCTGTAGTGCAGGACTAGGAATGTTGTTATTCTGAAAATATTTAGACACGCAAAACCTTGTGATAAAACTGGAAGACTAAACAACTCTGAGATGAGAAGAAGGGGTTGTTGTCTCTCCAGTGCTGCTTTCAGCTCAATGCCTCCAGAAGGAACTTTATGATCCACACGCATCCTCAAGCACAGGAAAAGACATCTAGGAGCAGCCTGCGAGCTTCATACTGTATACAGTAAAGGCGGTTGTTTGCTATTTGTTTTGCTTGCCTCCATGTTATAAAGTTAGTGGTGGATTATGGATAAAACTGTGGTCCTCATCACCGGCTGCTCGTCAGGAATCGGACTCAGGCTGGCTGTGCATCTAGCCTCTGACCCATCTAAAACTTTCAAGGGTGAGTGCCTTACTTCACAGCAAGTGTGCTGTTGTCGGTGGTATAGAATGACTCTGGCTGTAGTCATTACCACTTCAGGCTTAGGAACACCTGGAAGATTAAACAGCAGTGCAAATGAATTAAAAGTGATTGACCTGTCAGGAAGAGAGATATCCTTTATCCACGTCTTCAATTGTGTTAAGACATCTAAGGGCTTCTGATTCTGTGATGTGCTGCTACTGCAGGAAAAGTGATACCTGGGAGTCCCTGGTTCTTTAAAAATCTTCTAAACAGGCTTAATGTATCTCGATTGTTTTACAAATCACTGCAGTCTGAAAGTACACATATTTATTGATGACAGATCTTTCTGGCTGTTGTCATTTTAATGTCAGCATACGGGCAGCGCAGAGATTGACTCCAGGTCTGTTTTGCAGTTTATGCCACGATGCGTAATTTAGCCAAGAAGAGGCGTCTGATGGACTGCGTGAAGGATGTCCACCCTGACACCATGGACATTCTCCAGATGGACGTCACTGACCAGCTGTCCGTTCTGAATGCCAAAGAAAAGATAGAAGAAAAGAGAGTGGACATCTTAGGTGAGGCAACATCTTACACAACAGAAGACAATTTCTTATTACCCTTGTATTCAGAAAACAGTATCTACTTTTTTCAGATGTTCACCTATCATAAGTTTAAAGTTTTGAGAATCCATATCAGCTATTGAAGGGCCAGTTTAGATACAATTCTGTTTGGATGTTGAAAACGGAGTGCTTCCAAATTCTGTAATGGATATCAGTTAATAAGGCTGTTGAGTGCTGTCCAACAGAAAAAAACCTTTGTTAAAAGAAACTCTTCCACGTCTAGCCGTGAAAAGCAGTATGTCGTAGCGATCCATGTGTTTAAAATCCGGTCGTGCTGTGGCCAGCACATTTAAACGTAAGACCAAAGCATGTTCAAAGCAAGTTTTTCAGAATGGTGATTTTTTTTAGCCATTGGCACAAATTGCTCATGGATAACAAAATAAGATCAGAAGGACTTAATACAACATAGATCAAAGCCCCACAGGCAACTGGCTTTAACCCATCAACGCTCCTCCCTGTCTCATTTCATCACAAACAGCATTCAGGACTCTGTCGAGGAGCTATTATCTTCTCTGGGGTAATTAAACAGTCTGCTAAATAATCATAAAAAAACGAGGTAGAAACATCAAGGCTCTGTGACTAAGAGCACACATGTAAGAAAATAAACAGCAGGAAAAGAAACATTACAAAATGCAGTCCTGTGTGAGCAGGACTTCATCAAAACCTGAATATTAAGCCATGATTAAATGTATTAAGTTATAAAACCTCTAATGTACATCTTTAGCAGGAGCAGGCGTGGGTAGATGGTATAAAAATTGACTGATCTCATCCTCATTCATTCATTTATACATCTTTTTGGAAAACTGGCAGTTCAATCCCATGCTGGCAGGCACTGATCAGGGTTTCCCGAAGGAGCACACTCCAGTAGCATGGAGTTGCTGTGCACCTGCAGGATACCAGAAGCTTAAATGAGAGAAATATGGTGACCTTCAGGTAGTGGGCACCTCCTCATCAGGCCTGACCTCTGACCTCTGGCCAATTCCTTAAAGGCACCCCAAGATATTACTTGGCTCTTTCCTTAAGGGTTCCTTGAGGGTCAAGGTGTTGACAAGGTCTCAGAGTAGTTTCTTGTAACTCATTGTCATGACCAACACATTTCAATTCAAAAAGAGTTAGTTACTTCATAATCTAGGCACAGAGCTACATGCTTTGTAGATCATCAAGACTCTCTATTTTCTTCACAGTGTGCAACGCTGGTGTGGGGCTGATGGGTCCGCTGGAGGCTCAGTCCTACGAGACCATGACCCGGATCTTTGATGTAAATCTGTTCGGCACCATCCGCAGCATCCAGGCCTTTCTGCCCGGGATGAAGGCCCGGAGATCCGGGAGGATTCTCGTGACGGGCAGCCTGGGGGGGCTGCAGGGTGAGGAGACGGCAGGGGCAGAAAGGGGGGGAGAGGGGGGGGGACGTCCCGAAGTTGGGAGTGTTAGAAAAAGAAGCCTACAGTGGGAGGGCATAATAAAATGAGCAGGCTTACACTGCTGGGACGTGCTGGTTTTTATGAGCCGTTGTTAGTTCCGAGGCGAAACGCTCCACATGTGCAGAAAGAATGGGGCACATGTAGAAACAGCACAAAGAAGCAATGTGATGAATCGTCCTTTCTGCCGTCCGTCGCAATAATCCTGATCCGAAAACTGGGGGCAGTGCTCTTCTTGGTCTGAAAACATTTTTTTATCCAGCTCTTAGGAACTTGTGAAAATCAACAAAGAGCCGGGAGTTTTATACTCAAGGATGTATGTTATTAGTACCAGATAAGTATGTCTCATAATAATGGGATTCTCTCTAGACATGGCCATGCCTAGGCTGTGTCTGTACTTTTAAAGACAAGCACATAAGATACATGAAGGGGTCCTCTAACTATGAGCACACTGTAAGGAAGAATAGAGCTTTGAAGCTTCTGTGTCTCTGTGGGCTAGGTTTGCCTTTTAATGAGGTGTACTGTGCCAGCAAGTTTGCAGTGGAAGGCGTCTGTGAGAGCCTGGCCATCCTCCTGCAGCAGTTCAATGTCCAGTAAGTACCGGGGGATCCACTCAGGTGAGGCCAGTGGATTGCACACCTGACCACAGTCTTCCTGTGCGGAGCAGGAGAGAAAGATGTGTCTGAATTACCCCTCAGTGCAATAACGCTGATTTATTATTATAATA